TGTTACAACATGATTCTAGTTAGAACTAACGCCATTGTCATATTTTACTTGTACTATAGGATATGATCTATGTTTCTAAGCACTTGTTATTATTAGACTTTGTTCCTTGCTTGGGCTCGCCAGATTTCCTAGGTCCGCCACTGTTGGTATGCCTCGACACTGCTGGTTTAAGATCCAACAATGATACAATAGGGACTATCATTGCCTCTTAGACACCTACCGGGACTAATTCCAATAGTACTAGGCTGTTTGGAACTATATTAGTACTAGCTGGTTTATTAGTAATGAGTTATCAGTATTTGTATCAAACAGTTGACCATACAAAGGATTCTCGAGTGTTAGAAATTGACTAGTCAGGCAGTAGACCTGATGGTTGACTGAGCAAATTAATTCTCGATAGTCCCAATTGTTAATGAATAGATAGAAAATGGTTGTAATAACCATCGTTTAGACAATTTCCACCTCCTTGTAAGTGTAATTGACTAAATATTCGGTGAACCATAGCCAACTGACATATATTGACCATTGGCTGTTGTGCCAAATGGCCATAATCTAATCTTTTTTTGATAATATAATGTAACACATCGTGATTAGCATGATGAGCCAATGTGTATATATATGTGTGTGTGGTTGGGGGCGTATCATAAATTATGGACCCATTGTTCATAAAAGACGCCTGACACTACTAGTAGGATTGTAAACGGTAAGGCACACAAAGTAGGGGTCTTTCCCGGTATTATTATTATTATTTTGCCATTTTTTCACCTGAATTTGTTTTTTTTGGAAAATCTCATTAAGTGATGAGCCCCGTCATCGCAGCCACTTTCCTACTGCCGGTTCAAGAAACCAGCAGTGGTGAGGTTTTTGAACCGGCAATGAAGGCCAGTTCTTGGTAGTGAAATTAGACCGATATTTGAAATTATAACTGTTGGTAAGACCTTAATAGTTGGCCATTCGCAGTCTCCCTAACTCCTCATTGACCATTATACTTTCATATTGGCATAGGTACCTTAACCCGTTCATTGTCACAATCCGGAGTTAACTATTGAGTGCCAAAAACTGCCAAGGAAAGGGCCTAAACCGTCAGACAAATGATTCTTGGCCACAAACCATCAAGCAAACTCCGTCAAGGGTAGAAGACAATGGAAATTAGTTTCCTTTGGTTTTGATACTCAAGGATGATCTTCTTGGAGGCTAGCCGAGCTGCCAAGAAAACTAGGACTGTACTTAATTTTCCAAAGAGACAAGAAAATGTTGCAACTATCAAGTAAATTAGTTTTCTTTAGGGCCAGCAAACCTTCAAGGAAATATTCCTAACTGTCGAGGAAACCTCCAAGGAAATATAGAGCAATAGTAAAAAAAGCATAAATCAACAAAAGTGGCTTTTGTTGAGATTTGAACATGCAACCTATTGCTTCAAATGAAAAGCACTTACCACTACACCTCAAAGCTACTTATGAATTTTTTTTCTTTTGTATTCACTTTGTTGAGTCTTGTAATAAATATTTGAGATCCTAAATGATTACAAATGTAAAAAGTTTGAACTAAAAGGTTTAAGACCTCGTCTAATACTATAACTTTGGTTTAGGTCATATCTCCATTTGAGGTCATTTGGAAAATTAAAAAAAATATTTTAAAGCTCTGAGATTTCCTTGGGGGTTTCAAATTACACCCAAAAAATATGTATTACCTTGGCAGTTTCGAATAGCACTCAAGGAAATACGAATTACCTTGGCGGTTTCAAATAACACCCAAGGAAATGAGCAACTACCTTGGTGGTTTGTAATAACACTCAAGGAAACATGGAATTACCTTGGCAGTTTGGTTTAGCACTCAAGAATATCCATTTCCTTGGAGCTCTATGTCCACAGCGAAGGAACTACACTTTCCTTGGTGATTTTGTTTGGGCCCTCAAGAAAATCTTTAGCACTCAAGTAATTCAGGATTGTGGTAGTGGTTGGCCATTCACAGTCTCCCCAACTACCCGTTGGCCCTTATACTTCCATACTAGCATAGGCTGTGTATCTAATATACTGTAGATAGGTTTAGGGCCATATCTATAAACATCTAGTGGTCTAATTGCAAAGTTTGAGGACTTGTTAGTAACCCATAGCCTCACGGAGGAAGTAAATACAAACAACCATCTCCCGCACCTATAAATGGTGCACTAAGGCTTAGAGGGAAATGACCCATGGCCATCTCACTCTACTTTTTATACTATTCAACATCCCTCCATCTCACTCTCCTTTTTATACTATTCAACCTCCCTCCCTCTCTCTCTCTTTGGGCCTCTCTCTTTGGGAACAAGTCTCCTCTGTTTGGTGACTCTCTTTGGGATCCTCCCCCTCTCTCTTTGGCAACAAGTCTCCTCTCTTTGGCGAAAGTCACCAACAACCTGTAGCGCTTATTTGAAGTGCGACAAGTCCCCCAATAACCTGTAATGCCTATTTTGAAGTGGTCCAAAAAGATCTACGAATTTATTATGTAACTCATCTAAATTATTGTAGCCTGACATGTTTGTTGGTAAAAAAGAGTAGCAATTTTGGTCCTAATATAATTCTCATAAATGATTGTTAAACAATAATAAAAGTAGTTAAAATATACTTATTTTTAAATATTTATTAAATATACAATCCAATTATTGTATATTGAGATTTAACAATCCATATAATCATCATTTTGCAAGAGAAATATAATATCATCATAAGAAGCAATAAGATGTGTCCATAAACATAATGATAGATATTATCGATTACAAGTGGTTGATAATAGCAAACACAACTTACAATATTTTCCAAAAAAATTAGGAAGAAAAAAAACATAACAAATTAATCCTATCACCTATTTTATTGGGCCTCTAAAATGACATATGTACTAGCCTATGTCAACTATATAATGAGTGCGTTGATAGATAAGCTAGCCTAATATTTGTTTTCTACCATATCCAACTGTTGTAATAGACTAGTACATATATTTACAAAATACTCAATTGATGATGGCTAAATTTAGCAATAAAACAATCAAATATCATTTGTTCTTATGATTTTCATAGCCTATATATGTCATTGTAAGACTGCACAATATCCTCTGCAATTTTGGTGGCATCCATGGACACACCAAGGAGACCACGTCTTAAGAACCCACAGCATAGAGACCATTCTTTCCTTTCCATTCATTTTGTCTACGTGGAAATCCATCTTTCTATGAAAAAAATCGTTCTCCTATATATAAATAAAAAATCTAATTAGATACATAATTATTTTCAAGCCACAATCAACAATAAGGATAACATGGCAAAAGAAAAGTGATACTACCTTCAACCAATAAGGAACATTGCTTTTGTAACTTGTGGCAAGAATCACAACATCAAATGATTCGATCGTACTGTCAATAAACTCTACACCATGCTCTTGGAAACTTTGGATTGCCGGAAACACCTAGAAATATGCAATAAGTACAATAGTATGAGCTATACAATTAAGATAATTTTATAATGACAACAATATAAAATCAAAAAAGATTAACTAATTACTTTGATGTCACCAGACTTGATCTTTGCTATTGTACCCACATCAAGCACATGCGTCTTCCCACACACTTTTTTGAGCTCCATTGGACCCATACTAGGTCGAGGAATACCAAAGCGTGCAGTGTTGCCTAGAACAAACCAAGCAAGGAGGAGGAGGAGGATCCGATCCACTATCTGGACACGTAGAAACATAAGAAGCCACAAGGACAAAGTAAAAGTTGAGAGTCCCATGATCTCTCTTGGAAGGACGTGCACATGCAAACATCACCAAACATACAAATCAATTTTATAGTTCACAATAAGTTGATAGTGTACTAATCACAGTTACAACCAGTTGAAGAGAAATTACCATTTATCTAAGATACTATAAACTAAAAATGAAAGAGGCAACGAGTTTAAGTGCTCTTGTTTTGGTTTGCTTACAATATAGATACAAATTAAAAATACATTTAGTAAAAAGAGAAAAAAATAAAGGTAAGCTTGAGAGGCAAACACTTGGAGCTAACCCTTGTTTTGGTTTGGTTCTACAACAAGGATACAAATTAAAAAGGCATTTAGCAAAAAAAAAAAAAAACAGAAAAAAACATTAAGCTTGAGAGGCAGCTAACCCTGTTCTACTAGAAATTTAAAAAGCGTGCTGAGGCAATAACACTTATATAAGCTTGTAAATATTGAACTAGTTTTAATATTGATTTGTACATCACATTCCAATATCAGGAAAAATAGAAAGACAATAAAAATATATAGGTAGCATGGTATAAAGAGTCGTGTTGATGACCATTCAGTGGTCCACAATATAAAAAATGGCATAACTTGTTAGTGTTAGTGTTGTTAACCAAATAATTAGCATTCATGTTCATTTGGCTAACTCAACTAAGGCGAAGGATTTGTTTTTGTGTTATTATTTTATAAAAAAGATCAAGTATATGCTCATGAATCCCACACAGTAATCACGTGCTATTTATTATCACGCCAAGGGCTCTATAGGTTGTGTATAATTTTGTGGAATAAATTAAAAACAAAAAAAAAAAAAAGGTTTGCATTAATGGAAAACAAGAAAATTCCCAAATTACATATTCTTTTATAGTGATCGCAATGATTAGTTAAATCCATATTAAAAAAATTGAACCAACTATTAACAAAGTAATTATATACATGCACAGTAGCGAAGAATATATAAGTAAATTGCAACAAAAGTAATAATAATCTATCTGATAATAAAATACACAGTATAATTTCTCACCGAATCACGCACAACAATGGAGGTGTGCACATTATGGTTGGCGAGGTCGAGAGACACCTCTATGCCAGAGTCGCCACAGCCGACGACGAGCACCTTCTTGCCTTTGAAGGCCTTGCCGCTACGATATTCGCTGGAGTGCATAACCTGGCCCTTGAAGCTATGGATTCCCTCAATCTCAGCTACAACAGGCTCCACGTTCTCCCCTGTGGCCACAATGAGCCATTTGGATCAGTACTCCCTAGCGGACGAGTGGATGGACTCTATGCCGCCGCCATTGATGGGGCCGACGATGGCATCCTTGGTGCACACGCACCAGTACTCGCCGTCGTGCTCGGCGGCGACGACTTCCTGGCGGAAGAAGGGGCGGATGCCGAAGGTGCGTATGTACTCATCGATGTAGACGAGGAACTGCTGCTTGATCGGGTATGTGGGGTAGCTGCGCGTGAAGGTTATGAGCAGCAGCTCGCAGTAGTGCTTGGGCAGGTGCAGGCACATCCTACGGTACGTGCGGCGGTGCCACATGGAGGTGACACACACGTCACGCTCCAGGAGCGCGTAGGGCACGGATCCCATGGTGAGCCTCACCGCGCACGCTAGCCCCGCCGGCCCTGCGCCCACGATCAGGGGCCCCGGTAGCACTGCCACACCTTGGTCGCCGACGGGGATGCCAGTTGCCGTGGCCCTCGCGGCGCTGCACGGGCTGTACATCAGCGGATCCTGCTCCATCTTGCCCTCGGTCTCGTCGGCGAAGCCTGCCCGCCTGTACGTCAGCGGGTCGTGCGCCATTTTCCCCTTGGTCTCGAGGAAGCGTTCCATCTCTTGGCCGGCCAGCAATCGAACACGATGAATAGGTACATATAACGATCTACTAGGCACGCGCGACCAGCGCACAGCACAACCTACCTCAGTTCGCTCTAACAGCTCAACACACTACCACTGATAGGATTAGTAGGGGCGACTGGTGAGGCTTTGTAGAGGCGGCTCGGCCAGCCGCCCCTACCATACCGTCTCTACAAATCATGCATTTGTAGGGGCGGTTTCTTGACCGCCCTTACAAATCGATTTGTAGAGGCGGCTGGTGTTATCAGCCGCCCCTATAAATCGATTTGTAGGGGCGGCTCTAGTATCAGCCGCCCCTATAATACTTGTTTGTAGGGACGGTTCAGTTTAAAACCGCCTCTACATATTTTTTCACCAAAAAAAATTTAAATTTATAATTCAAATTCGACCAGAACATATATATATATATATATATATATATATATATATATATATATATATATAATTTAAATCTAACCAGAACATATATAATTCAAATCTGACCACAAGCACAAGAGCATTATATAAACTACCATTACAAGTCTAATTCACAAGAATATATATAATCTATCATTAAATAGACATAATTCACAAGTCTAATTCGTTCCACAAGTCCAAACCGTTCCACAAGGTATGATCAATGTCAAATTCCATATATATTGTTATCAACGGCCTAGAACTAGCCTTTCAGTCTCATGAAGGTGTTGGTACTGAGGATTTCTACCTAAGTCAGAATCTCGGTCATGGTAGGTGCCTTTGACGTGTACAATCTGGTCCAATATGAAGTTGCAAAGGTCGTCGATGAGCTCTAAGAGTTGGTCATCCTTGTATAGGTCTCTTTTTATTTCTTTCTCTTCTTTCCACTACAAGAGAACAAGTTTCAATTTAGTATTTCATATCATGTGCGAAGCTTTTATACTACGGATGAAGAGGTTTAAACTTACCCTTTAGGGGTGTCTCCTATAGACACCGGTGTTACTCATCATAGAACATACAAAGTATCCATAATGTACACTTTTAGGCTTCTGCTTGGGGCACTGTGTGTTTTGCGTATGGAAATGTTAAGTAATGCTTTTGACTGCCATGTAATGGAGTACTAAAGTAAGTGTTTACACCAAAATTTAGAGAGAAAAGCGCGGGAAGTCAAAACTTCTAAAACCGTGCCAATCAAGGAATCGATTACATAAGGATCGCTATCAGCTAATTCAGATATGACTCTAGAGTTGGATCTCTTTGGATGACGTTAGCAGATAGCGATGATGAGCTACGGTTGGCGCCAGGAAACTACATATCGGACTCTACAAAAAGGAAAGATTAGGGTCCAAGTTATCTTAAATTAGAAATATTTTCTTCTATGCCGAAGATTGTAATGAGTCGTGCTCGAGTAGGATTCATGTTTAGGCTCCGGGTATAAATATCAAACCCTGGCTATTGTAAAAGACACACAATCAATCAAATACAAGTTACTTACTTTTTTGGCTCCGGCCACCCCTTAGGAGTAGGAGTAGAGTAGATCTCGGTGAGTTCTTCAGCAAGTACGGCTGCATCGGTCTGGTCGACCTCCACTGCTTGTCTGTAAGTATCGTCATGGCTTATACTTATGTTCGTACGGCTGCATCAATTCGGTCGACCTCCACTGCAACTCTAGTATAAGCTAGTTATCGACTCTTGTCTAGTTCAAGTAAGGCTGCATCGATCCGGTCGACCTCCACTACTCGAACTAGATTAAGGTCATGCTATCGGCTCTATCTAAGGGTGGCGTTCCTTCGGATAGATTCATTAAGTTACCGATATTGCTTATTACTTCCATTATTTATTTGATTACAGCAATATCACTTCGCCCGATTGGGATTAACCTAGATCGGATTTATATCCTTTTGAACTCATCGTTTGTTAATCTAAATTTGATCTAATCTGCACTTTAAACGATGAGTTATGTTTTATCGGCTGTTCTATGTCAATCTTAGTCGTGCATAGTGTGCGGTTAAGGTATGTCTGATCTTGAGTAGATCTATTGGCTAGCGAAAACCGTTTCATGGCCCGTTATTATGGTCTATGTGATTCTGCCTCACACCCCACTGTTAGCACCGTGGAGTGGGGATCGTTACTTGGTAGATCTGTTCCTGATAGGGCATGACCTTAACTGTGCGCTATGCCTAAATCGGCTGTTTTAGCCGATATCGAGTGCTTTCACGAACAGTTCACGTCACGAGACCGTTGAAGTAAAGATAGGTTGAAAGATGTGTTAGCCCCATGATCTTATTATTGTATTATGTCCTGCATGATTCTGCCTCATGCCCCACTGATATTAGTAATAAGTTAGGGTTATCGAATCTATTGTTGTTTCTACGGCCTGCATGATTCTGCCTCATGCCCTACTGGTCATAGCGATAGATGAGATCTAATATGTTCATTAGATTTATCTTTATTAAATGGTTAAATGATGATGAGCTATTTCTTTTATATAAAAGGGATTCGGTTACTTACAGTCATTGGCTTAGCATAAACTAATTATTGTTGACATCTTATAGCCATTGACTAATGTTTGTCTAAATAACGAGATCTATCCTGAGCGATAACCGATTTACCTTCCATAATTCCATGAGCTTTAATTAATTTATTCTTATGAGTATGCTGGAATCGACTATTTAGTCGATTTCCTTCCATATCGGCTCTCAGAGTCGTATATTCGGGACTGTCTAGCAACATCGGTATGTTCCGCCTTAAATTACAGATTAGCTTTCTCTCCTTGTTAATTGCAGGGTCAAATTGACTGGCACGTCTCGGGAGGAGTGCGCAGGATTGACCATCCCTACGCGGAAGCTAGGCGAATCTCCAGCTCCATCGAGCGGACCCTTCCGGCTTGCTCGTGTGCCCTCGACACGGGACGAAATTTCATGCCAACAGTAAGTTACACTTACCGCATATAGTGTTTTTATAGCCAGCCTTTCCTTCCTTCCTGGATCATGCCTTCCATGATGTTCATTGACATAGAATCGAATGCCCTGTTTGAATTATTTTAGCAAATGTAACTTGTTAGTATCCAAAAGTGAACGTTACAAGTATGTATACAAACATATAAGCTAATGAGGATTGTCGATATGTATATGTCTTGAGAATCGATATGAAGTCTTTGTATGTCACCGGGTCCCTATCTATTGAATCAAAAACCCATGCCATGCTCCTCCCGACATCGACGCCTATACAAATCCAGTGGTTGCTGCTTGAATTTAATCATAGAACTAGATAAGCTCTTTTGCATCGAATAAAATATATCGAACAAAGCTTTAAGTATAGAGTTGAACTTACTCAAAGTTGTATGGTAGCCATATAGTAGAGTGTTGTTGGAGATTTTTAAAAGCCAGGGCAATATATGCCGAAACCTTAAGGGACTCTTGCCGTAGTTTCTTCGCACGGATGTCCTCTTTCTCCCGAAGGGTCTTTCTAGCAGCTAGCTCTTTAGCATCTAGTTTCTACTGTCTAGGGCAATTAAAATTTGTTTGTGCTATAGCTTAAGGGTCTATATACCTGGCTTTCACACTTGGCATTTGTTTTACAATGTGCACTTGCATTCTACAAATCACGACATGGGTTAGTTACAACAAAATCCAAATATTACATTCATATCATATCAGGATGGCAAGGACTTATAGGCACCACATGCGAATTAGATTCATTTCCATTGCTCCGAGGTGAAAGCATGTCTGCATGTCATTGAAGTCAAAGATAATTTTCTTGGCTGGGCTTCCAAATGTGCCGGTGGGGAAGCATGCTTGTACGAGGTCTATGCTCATTAGAAGAACACGCAAGTACCAATCATGGAACCTTCTCATTTCAAGTGGTAGGCGCTGGATGTCCTGGTTTGGTAGGAAGGGCTTGCCTCTTTCATATGTTTTCGGGCAATCCTTTGACCATTTGATGGCATCAATATTTGGATACTTCTTTACTGTTTGGTGGACTTTGCTAGTGACGGCCTCCTCAGAAGCCCGTGTTGGGACTTTTTAACTTGGTTCTCAGGCTTGAACTGGTCATGGGCATACCACTTGTGTACCGACGAGACGTCTTTCATCGGAACATAAATTGGCCTTATTGTGATTGGATGCTTCTTTAGAAGTTCCCATTCAGGCACGTCCTCATCTTCTTGTGCATCACCTTCTTTAGGAGGCACTCGTTGTTCATGTATCGGCTGCGCTTGTTGAGAAGACTATGGCATCTCATCATGCACTTGCTCGGTATGAGCTGGAGAAGGTTGTGGCTTATTAGGAACATGCTTGCTAGGAGGCGGGGAAGAATGTGGCATCTCAGGAATGTGGTGGTCACGAGACGGTGAAAATATCTTCCCGTCCTCAACAACTCGCTCCAAATTTGAGAGAGGGGGAGGCGGAGAAGAAACAATCAATATAATGTCCTATTTGTGCCAGAGGATGAACTGCCCCATTACGTCTCCGAGTAACACCAGCCCCTCGGGAGTTGCGTAGTCTATCCTCCACTGCATGAACTCGGGCTTCACGGTATGCACCTCGACCCTAGTGTAGTCCAGATGATATCTTATTATTGTGGTGTAAGCCACCGGGAGGATGTGCCACTCCCGTTGCCACCTCCATCACAATGTTCTGCCGGCCGTTGAGAAACACCAAGGTGCAACTAGTTGGTTCCCGTATGTGATCGATGTGGGTTGTGGCTGTAGTGGAACCTTGGCTGCTAGGAACTTCCAGAGGGTTGCCAACTAATGGCAGTTCTCCCAGCGGCGCCATTAATGTCTGTGGCTCCATAGACAGTCCTTGCTCCTCCAGCGCCTTCACAACTAGAGCCTTCACTTGGAGCTCAAGATTAGGCTCTCGGTCTCTGCCATGTTTCTTGTATATGTGCCTGTCCTCTTCGAATCCGTGCTTCTAGGTCATCCTTTTCCCTAGCCCCCTGGTGCGGCCTATGTGCTCGTTGTTTCCCAAGCTAAGGCTAAGCTCGTCCCTCTCTCTAGAAGGATTGAATGAGCACTT